ACATGGCTCTTTTAATAATCTAGTTCAACCCCCTTGTATTTAATTGATGGAGAAACTGAGCCCCAGGGACCAAAGTGGCTTGAGCATGGTCACGACACAGACACACAATGCGAGGGCAGGCGGCCCTGAGCTCCTCTGCCTCTATCCTGACAAGCCCCCAGCCCCACGTTCTCGGTCCTCTTCACTTGGTGGGAGTGGGCACACAGATCTGGAGATGGCATGGACACAGCCCCAATCCACAGACACCAAGAGTGCCCTCCCTCCGTTTCTAAAGGGAACACACAGGCACGCGGATGGAAAAGGAAGAAAACCTAGGACTTTCCACACCAGCAAAGACATCAAATTTCCTCTTCAGCACGAAAAACGTCATGGGCACCTGAGTGCCCTGTTTCCAACTTGAAAAGCCCCAACTCCACAGTAGGTGGGTTCACAACTCACCAAGCCATTGAGGAGCTCTGGGGCTCGGTGGGGGGCACAGCCTCACGGGCACTCCGATCACTTAACTTCAAACTAGTATGAGTAGCCTGGAGGCCACTTCCCCAAGAAATAGAAACTAGGCAGCAAGCTCTCACCTTCACACCTATGGAGGCTTTTTGTTTTTGAGACAGGGTCTCGCTCTGTCGCCCAGGCTGAAGTGCAGTGGTACCATCGAGGCTCACTGAAGCCTCTGCCTTCTGGACTCAGGTGATCCTCCCACCTCAGCCACTTGAGTAGCTGGGACCACAGGCATGGACCACGACCCCTGGCTAATTTATTTATTTATTTACTTATTTTTGAGACAAAGTCTCCCACTGTTGCCCAGGCTGTAGTGCAGTGACACGACTTCGGCTCGCTGCAATCTCCATCTCCCGGGTTCAAGCGATTCTCCTGCCTCAGCCTCCCGAGTAGCTGGGACCAGAAGCATGCACCACCATGGCCAGCTAATTTTTAAAAATATTTTTAGTCGAGGGGGGGGTTTTACCACGTTGGCCAGGATGGTCTCAATCTCCTAACCTCGGCCTCCCAAAGTGCTGGGATTACAGGCATGAGCCATCACGCCCGGCCAATTTTTAAATTTTTTATAGAGACGAAATTTTGCTCTGTTGTCTAGGCTGGTCTCAAACTCCTGGGCTCAAGCAGTCCTCCTGCCTCAGCCTCCCAAAGCACTGGGATGACAGGTGTGAGCCGCCATGCCTGGCCACATAACAGTTTTTTAACATAAAATCTCCCAGATGAGACTTTCAGTTTGACAGTAAACCCTTATCTTCAAACTGACCCCAAATGACTCCAAGATCGTGGCGGATTTCTAAGAACAGCTTCTGCCCATGCAGCAGAAGCACTTCCTGAGGTTGTGTGTGGAGCGGGAGGTGGGAGTCTCCTGGGTGCTGGGGCTTCGTGATTATTCTTTTTTTTTTTTTTTTTTGAGACAGAGTTTCACTCGTTACCCAGGCTGGAGTGCAATGGCGCGATCTCGGCTCACCGCAACCTCCACCTCCTGGGTTCAGGCAATTCTCCTGCCTCAGCCTCCTGAGTAGCTGGGATTACAGGCACGTACCACTATGCCCAGCTAATTTTTTTGTATTTTTAGTAGAGACGGGGTTTCACCATGTTGACCAGGATGGTCTCGATCTCTTGACCTCGTGATCCACCCGCCTCGGCCTCCCAAAGTGCTGGGATTACAGGCGTGAGCCACCGCGCCCGGCGGCTTCGTGATTATTCTGATGAGTTAAGTCTCAGTGCCAAATCCTAGTGGACTCAGACAGCAAAGTGGTAACTATCTGGTCCACCCAGAAGTATGCCTGGAAATCCAAGATTATCTTTCCAAAAACAGAGTCTATCCTCCAACGTCAGCAAAATCAACACTCAAGACTAGAGCCCAATCTGTTTTGTCGTTGGAAACCCCCTCTCGAAAGTGTAAACGCTCCTAGGGAGCGACCAGGAACAGATGGGGATGGGCAGCTCCCCGCTAGGGCACAGCTGCTCATTCACTCGGCTCAGAACTATGAAGCCAGCCAGGCGCAGTGGCTCACGCCTGCAATCCCAGGACTTTGGGAGGTCGAGGCGGGTGGATCACCTGAGGTCAGTAGTTTGAGACCAGCCTGGCCATCATGGTGAAAACTCGTCCCTACTAAAAATACAAAAATGACTCAGGTGTGGTGGTGGGCACCTATAATCCCAGCTACTCAGAAGGCTAAGACAGGAAAATCGCTTGAACCCAAAAGGCAGAGGTTGCAGTGAGCCGAGATCAAGCCACTGCACTCCAGCCTGGGCAGTGACAGAGTGAGACTCTGTCTCAAAAAAAAAAAAACAAAAGAACTGTGAAGCCCATCTGAGGAGGAGGCGGTCCCCCATGCCAGGGCTGAGAGTGTTCTCTGGAGCAGGTGCCTGGGAGGACCGATCCACTCACCTGTTGTGCAGCCTTGTCGGCGAGCAGCGCAAATTCCACAGACAGGCCTTTCAGAGCCTGCTTCAGTGACCCCCACGTGCTGCTGTTCAGAGCGGCCAAGGCGGGCAGCGGGGTCGTGTCAGACCCTATGGCACTGAGGGAGCAAGCACACAGGAGAGGAGACACTCGAGGACTTGGAGCTCACCCCGTGGTTGAGTCTGGCATTCCCTGCGACGGACGCGCAGCTCTCAACACTGTGCCCTCCACAGCAGCCTGTGTGCCCCCCCACTACCCCACCCTCCTAGGCCCCTGCTGCTCAGAGAGAAGCCTGCGGGAACCCTGGGAACCTGGGAGAAAGCATGGCCTTGGGGCTGTACCACAGGCCCTGCTGTGTCCGTTCTTCCTGACCAGCCCCCAAGTGACATGTGTGCATAGGTTAGGGGCACTGCTCAGGGGAGCAGAGTCCCGGGTGGGGTCTCCCTGCCCCTCAAGCAAAGGAAGCACTTCCAGTCCATGGTCTGTTCTTCCCCAAGTCAAAGGGATCTTTTCTGTTTATTTACTTTTTTGAGACAAAGTTTTGCTCTTGTTGCCCAGGCTGGAGTGTAACAGCTCAATCTTGGCTCACTGTGACCTCTGCCTCCCAGATTTAAGCAATTCTCCTGCGTCAGCCTCCCGAGTAGCTGGGATTACAGGTATACACCACCACGCCCAGCTAGTTTTGTATTTTTTTTAGCAGAGACAAGGTTTCACCATGTTGGTCAGGCTGGTGTCGAACTCCTGACCTCAAGTGATCCACTCACCTTAGCCTCCCAAAGTGCTGGGATTACAAGTGTGAGCCACCGCGCCTGGCCCGGGATCTTTTTAAAGTCTCATCCTAACAGTGGGAAAACTACCACACTAGAAACTGGTGAGCATTAGACCAGGCGCGGTGGCTCACGCCTGTAATCCCAACATTTTAGGAGGCTGAGGTGGGCGGATTACCTGAGGTCAGGAGTTTGAGACCAGCCTGACCAACATGGAGAAACCCCATCCCTACTAAAAATACAAAATTAGCCAGGCATGGTGGTGCACACCTGTAACCCCAGCTACTCGGGAGGCTGAAGCAGGAGAATCACTTGAACCCAGGAGACGGAGGCTGCAGTGAGTAGAGACCATGCCATTGCACTCCCGCCTGGGCAACAAGAGTGAAACTCTGCCTCAAAAAAAAAAAGAAACTGGTCAGCGTTTACACGTGCTCAGGAATCCGCATTTCTGGGCCGAAATTCTCCCTCGTTTCTTCTAAATATGACCCCCCATGTGCCTGACCCACTTTTTGCCCCTTCTGGAGTGAAACAGGTCAGGATGCTGGTTATTATGGTAAACGCATTTTCTGCCCAAGCCCTTCACCAGCGTGAATTCCTGTCCCACCGCGCCTGTCCCTGCAGAAGCTGAAAGGTCACCTGCCTTAGCTCCTTCCCGAATATGAGAAGATCTGCTGCGTTGTCGATGGCCCTCGACGCGATCCGCTCAGCCCTGTCCCGGTGCTTGTGAAAGCTGTTGTAGATGTTCCGGATCAGCTCCAGGCTGATGGCAAACTGAGCTTGGATGTCAGCTGGGAGGAAGTCCTGACATGATGAGAAGAGGGAGAGAGACTGTGTGTTACTTGCTGTGGAGCGCCTGTCAGATGGCAGCAGCCGACCCCCCAAAAGCTGAGCCACAGGAGACCCAGCAGGTCCATGAGCCACCCCAGGAGCCCCACTCCTCCAGGGATCACTGCAGCCATCACTCTGCGTGTCCAAATGAGAAACGAAAACCATCATCACCTACATGCCGCAAACTCAAGGACAAAAGACCCCATAGGATTAGGACCACAGAGTCCACTGAAATGTCATCACACTGGAGGTCCTATCAAAAAACACTCAAATGGCCGGGCACGGTGGCTCACGCCTGTTAATCCCAGCACTTTGAAAGGTTGAGGTAGGTGGATCACCTGAGGTCAGGAGTTCAAGACCGGCCTGGCCAATATGGTGAAACCCCATTTCTATTAAAAATACAAAAATTAGCTGGGCGTGATGGTGGGCACCTGTTATCCCAGCTACTTGGGAGGCTAACGCAGGAGAACTGCTTGAATCCGGGAGGCGGAGGTTGCAGAGTTAAGACTGCCCCACTGCACTCCAGCCTGGGCAACAAGCGAGATTCTGTCTCGGAAAACAACTTAGGGCCGGGCGCAGTGGCTCACGCCTGTAATCCCAGCACTTTGAAAGTCCGAGGCAGGCAGATCATGAGGTCAGGAGTTTGAGACCAGCCTGACCAACATGGTGAAACCCTGTCTTTAAAAAAAAAAAAGAAAAGAAAAAGACACAACAAACATAAATTCCTGAAAGACTCTCCACAAGGGGGGAAGGCCTCTTGTATGCCTCATTTATTGACAAGGACTTTTTATAAGCTTTGATACTATCAGTGTTGAGAAAACAGAAAGCTCAGAGAGTAAAATGAAGGGAAAAGTTTCAGCCAGGCATGGTGGCTCATGCCTCTAATTCCAGTACTTTGGGGGGCCATGCCTGGAGGATTGCTGGAGGCCAAGAGTTTGAGACCAGCCTGGGCAACACAGTGAGACTCCATCTATACCAAAAACAAGCTAACAAATTAGCCAAGTCTTGTGGAGCACGCCTGTCATCCCAGCTATTCTGGGAGGCTGAGGTGGGAGAATCGCTTGAACCCAGGAGGTCGCAGCTGCAATAAGCTAGGATTGCGCCACTGCAATATAGTCTGGGGGATGCAGCAAGACCTTGTCTCAAAAAACAAAATTAAATAAAATAGATTTTTTTATTTTTGTATCAAGAAGCAGTTTTTTTGTGTTTTTTTGTTTTGTGTTGTGTTGTGTTGTTTTTAGAGATCAAGTCTCACTGTGTTGCCCAGGCTAGATACAGTGGCAGGACATCGGCTCACTGCAGCCTCCGTTTCCTGGGTTCAAGTCATTTTCTT